CCTCTTTTGTTGCACTTTCTTTTTTATTTCTTTTTGCAAACTCTTAAACCCTGATATTTGCAATGCATGCAAAAATTCACATTCAATGTTTAATTGAAGTGTCTCAAAAAAACGATGAACATGGATTAGAAGATACTTTTCAGAGGCATTTAACTTTTAACAATTTTAACAATTTAAGGGGAAAATTTGTAAATGCCTTTTTTTAGAAATTGAGCTTTTTCAAGTATTTATGATTTCGTAGAGGAAAAAAATGCATTTAAAAAATACCAACCCCAATATGCATAGAGTGGAATCTTTTGAAAGGTAATTTCACAAGAATTTTAAATGTTTGACGTATTTTAAAAATATTTCACAAAGAAACTTTTGTTAGAAGATAAATTTGTTTATTTCTATATCTTTTCAACTTTAAAACTTTGATCTATGAAACATTGGGTTATTTTTGTAATTTCGTAATTTCGAAAAAAAGTTTGCATTTCGATAGATCGATATTACTAACAAATGTTAGGGTTTATTTTAACGGTTTAAAGGGACTGTTCGTGCAAGTTCAAGTGACCCTCGGTTCAAAGATGGCAATTCCTGATTTACTATGGTGCTTTTAAAAGCTTTGTGAATTAGATATCCAGGGTTTTGTTTCTTAACTTTTTATTTCGATTTTCGATTTCTCTACAAAAGTGACAATCACAATTCTTGCTTATAAGAAGTAATGGAGAAATTCACAGAAATAAACACTTTTCAAAACAAAAAACGACGGTATCTTCCACATTTTTGATCAGATTAACGTTTCAAGGGTACCGTTGTACAATTACATGGAGGGTCACATTAAATTACGCTTACAGTCCCTTTAATTATGGTATGATGGACAGAGTAAGATTATCAATGTACAAAGGGAATAGAATATATATTAGGGGGGAATTTAGACAATCCTTCGGTATGATTTTTTTCAGTCCCTTTCAGCCTGAAAGGGAGTTCAAAGTGTACAAATCATGTAAATTTTCACAAATTTTATGCAGTAGAGTACATTAATACATTATGTTCCCTAGACTATCCATTTCAATTTCGGATTTTTTAAAGCTGTTAAATAAACTTGAATTAGGTGAATAAAAAAGATCATTTGATTTATAGTTATAACAGAAAATCATCGTTTGTAAAGTGAAAGGCAAACAGTCTATGTGAAATAATCATTGTTCAATTATGAAACCAGCCTATTTCATAGTTTGGTTTTCTTTTAATATTAATTTTAGATTTTCTATAAAATGATGTTCCAGGGCCCAAAAGGTTAAATAGCATAAATATGTGAAGTACACCTGCAGTATGGAAACAGTACAACAAAATGGCCGTTTTACACTTTTCTAGTAAATTCCCCTCTAATATATATTCTATTCTCTTTGCCAATGTATGCTTTCGGTGTGTATTGGAGTGATTTGCAGTACACTGACCGAAGAAATAATGGTTTAAGTGGAGAGTAGTATGTAAATGTGGAGGCATCTCCCAGATTGTGCTCCATTTTTTGAGACAATCAATTAAGTTTTAAAATTCTCATAGAAATGCTAGTGTCTCAAAAAAACGATGAACATGGATTAGAAGATACTTTTCCAGAGGCATTTAACTTTAAGGGGAAAAATTGTAAATGCCTTTTTTTAGAAATTGAGCTTTTTCAAGTATTTATAATTTCGTAGAGGAAAAAAATGCTTGTACCAATCCCAATATGCAATATAGAGTGGAATCTTTTTATATTCGCTCATAAAGATTTAAGGCAATTGTGTATGCATACTTCAAAAGGTAATTTCACAAGAATTTAAAATGTTTGACGTATTTCAAAAATATTTCAACTTTAAAACTTTGATCTTTAAAACATTGGGTTTCAAGGATTTAAGAATAAGTTTCATGGCAAAGACTCATTTTTTTTGTACTACTTAAGGTTCGAAATTTCGAAAAAAAGATTGCATTCTGAAAGTTCGATATTACTAACAAAATGTTAGGGTCTGCCTGTGCAATTTCAAGTGAACCTCGATTCAAAGATGGCAATTCCTGATTTACTATGATGCTTTTAAAAGCTTTGTCTGGTCAAGTGTGAATTAAATATTCAGGGTTTTGTTACTTAAAACTTTTTATTTCTATTTTTGATTTCTCTACTTAAGTGACAAGCCACGATTTTTGCCTATAAGAAGTAATGGAGAAATTCACAGAAATAAACACTTTTCAAAACAAAAAACTTTAAATTACACTTACAGTCCCTTTAATTATGGTATGATGGACAGAGTAAGATTATCAATGTACAAAGAGAATAGAATATATATTAGGGTGGAATTTAGACAATCCTTCGGTATGAATTTTTTCAGTCCCTTTCAGCCTGAAAGGGAGTTCAAAGTGTACAAATCATGTAAATGTTCACAAATTTTATGCAGTAGAGTACATTAATACATTATGTTTCCTAGACTATCCATTTCAATTTCGGATTTTTTAAAGCTGTTAAATAAACTTGAATTAGGTGAATAAAAAACATCATTTGATTTATAGTTATAACAGAAAATCATCGTTTGTAAAGTGAAAGGCATACAGTCTATGTTAAATGATCATTGTTCAATTATGAAACCGCCTATTTCATAGTTTGGTTTTCTTTTAATATTAATTTTAGATTTTCTATAAAATGATGTTCCAGGGTCCAAAAGGTTATATAGCACAAATATGTGAAGTACGCCGGCAGTATGGAAAAAGTACAACAAAATGGCCGTTTTACACTTTTTCTAGTAAATTCCCCTCTAATATATATTCTATTCCCTTTGTCAATGTATGCTTTCGGTGTGTATTGGAGTGATTTGCATTACACTGACCGAAGAAACAATGGTTTAAGTGGAGAGTATGCAAATGTGGAGGCATCTCCCAGATTGTGCTCCATTTTTTGAGACAATCAATTAAGTTTTAAAATTCTCATAGAAATGCACAAACAGGGTCTGATATATATTGAATATTTGTATCAGATGGTAATAATTGGCAGAGTACAGTACAGGGTGTCCCAAGAATTATGACAAATTAAAGATCATCTTCTCAATATGGAAATCATTTAATTCATGCATGTTAAAATATATTTTTTTATTAAATATTAGTAAATGACGATCTTCCAGTCGTCCATTAGGTTTCATTTTTTGTGGTACACCCTGCATAAACAAATCATACTAGCCAGGATTGGACTCAACCACAAATATTAACATCAGTTCAGTTTTGAAATTCTTTACTCTAATTCTAGCGAGTTCGGGTACTACATAGGGAGACTTTCAAAAAGACACTTTTTTAGGTTGAAGATCAGAGATATCCAGAAAAAAAGAAAATTTTGCATCAATGCTTTTGGCCTCAAATTGTTAAATATTTACTCGTATTTGTAGCCCCTGCCCATGTAAATTGTACATTGCACATTTTAAAGGGACTGTAAAGGAAAAATGAGAGGGGGTTTAGGATGAAACCTGAGAATCTCAGGTTTTGAACGATACGTGTAAGACATCTATCTGATGTTCCTGTCTCGAGAAATTGATATAAAACTGTGTCATAATTAAACGAAAATTTTTATATATACAATTTTGTATAAAAGTAGTAGGTTTAAAGAGATCATATTCAGAAAATACACAACCAATCTGAAAACGATTATATCTCACAGGAGCCTGAGAATCTCAGGTTTGCTCCTATTATAATTTGTTTTGCATTTTTAATAGATATAATTGATTATATTATTACAAATAGTCCGTATTACGTCACCAGATCTTCAGCCAATGGCAGTGCAGTGTCACGTGATACAGACGGAAATCACGTGACCAGTAAAAGGGCCTTTTTTAAAGATAGACAAGTATAATATCTAATTCAGAAAAACTTTTAAGAATACCCTTGTGAATCGGATACCCCACTGAATAAATATAGGTTACTTAAAATAATGTTTTAAATTCTTTTAAACTATCATCATGGCAAACCTTACAAGGGAATGTATTTGAGAAACCTTTGACATTTCATTTTATAGATCACAAGAACATGATTTTGTATTTGACTCCTTGCTACACGTATATACAGTGATTATCTATATAAATCTATATAAATACATTAGAAATTTGTGTTTTGTAACTGTTTTTTTTCTTTTTTAACATCTGTTAGAATTTATGCATCTTTTGTTAAACAAATCAAAGAAATACACCTTCAGGTTGCAAAAAATGTAGAATAAATTTATCCTTTTCCTTCTGTTTATTTGAGTGTGAAATACAACTTTATTAATGAATTAATTAAACTTCAAGGGTTTCTCTTTGTGTTTATAGCAGTTGTGTTTGTACTTGCAAGTACCCTGCAAATTATAATTCGCAAATATTTTGCATGTTGCCATGTAACGTCATGATTTAAAATGAAAACATTTTGTTTGATAAAAAATAAACAATATAACATAAAAGAGTAGTACTTGGGTCTTGAAACACTGTCAAATACTTTTTCAGATCTGCTTTATCTTAGGAATTATATTTACTATGCACAGATGAATTTAAAAACTCATTAAAATTAGGAAAAAGGGCGAACTTTTTAGTGTTTTATTATGTTCGAAGAAAGATTCTCGTAAATTAAGTTACATGTATAATTGATGGGCGTAATTCCATAGATAAAGATATATTGTACGTAAGACGTTGGAATAAGAAAATCAGATTTTGTGGCAAAAACTCAATTCCTTTTTAAAATGTTTAAAATGATTCAATCCTTTTCGCTTTTTAAATCCCAAAAATCTCATTTTAGAGGTTTGATGTAGGACACCCTGTATCTGTACGGAGGTTTAATGGAGGATTTTTGCTTAAAGTTTACTGTGAACTTTACTGTCATTGAGAATAAATGTAGTCGTTAAAAGTTCTAGAAATGTATAAATCCATTCTATTGGTTGCTTTTAAAGATTATTTTCAGAGTTAAAATGAGAATATAAATGGGAAGGCATTTAACAGGTAATACTCACATTAAATTGGTGTTTAGAAGATGTTATTTAAAATATTGAAGATTTTTTGTATTAATCGTTAGTAAATTTTAAAATAATTTGAATTAAAATTTAAACATTTTTTTTTCTCACAATTTCGACGACCAAATTCGAATAGTCCTACTTCTTTTTTCATAAACTTTGCATTTGAGGTGCTTTGCACCACCTCCAATAATATCAATTTTGGTTTATTATAACGATTGCTCTGAAAATAGACATTTTTAATCGTTCTCAATGGTTGATCTCAATCTTTTGTTAATCTGCAGATTAATTTCATATATAATCGATATCTCGCATGCTAATTGTAACCAGTCAGGGAGAGCTTTGATCAGGAATAACTAAAATGAAGATATGGAAAGGTCAATAAATCCTAAAAATAAAAGTGCCCACAGTGGATATCGAGATCAAACTCTGATGATTTACTTTGATTTAACTTTATACAATCATCTCGTCTTTTCTGGGCAACCCGTAATCTATCTATTTTATTTCAGGGGAAAGACGGGCGTCCTATTTTACCGTCCCGGATGATGTTAGTCCTACTAGGACGTCCTCAACAAGAACACAGGACGTAAAGACCATAAAGAAAGTTGAACTAACGCTTCCCCAGAAAAATGCTAAAACCAACGAGTTTGAAAGAAAAGGAGAGAATCTTCAAGGGACAGGACTGGGGGAAAAAACTTTAATCACCAAAAAGAGCAAAAATGTGGACAAAGTTCAAATACAATATGACAGTGCAAGCAAACGAAAAATGAAAAAAAATGAACAAGTGAAAAGTGATAGAAAGATACACGTGAAAGAAGAACCAGTGAAACGATTTTCTATAGAAATCGGCGACAAAAATAAAGCAAAATTACAAAATTCAGCGAAAATCCTAACCATTAATGAAAAAAATTCTAAAATTATTAAAAATATTCAAAATGTCCAAAAATTGAAAACGAAAACTACTCAAGACAGAAGTTTCAAGAAAACATCAACAGGTACCATCCTTCGATAATTTGATCGTTCTATTTTATAAAGAACGTATTTGTTTAGATATCATATTCTTTGAACAATCTGATAGTTATGTAATTTTCGATAAATTACAACTTATAAAGCATGAGAAGGAAAATCTTGATCAGGATTAACCATTTATGGCCTTGCATTCATCACACCTCTTCTCTATAGAAGTTTGCAGGGGGGGGGGGGCGTTGCTCTCCCCGAAAAAGAGATTTTATAGAATGCCCCTAAACGAGTCAGTATTTGTTTTAGTTATTTTTAGTTATTTTTTGAAATTTGATCATACCAGTTTTTTTCTAATTTCCCTCGCTATTTTTGCATGAAATATTTGTTTTTAGAATATCTTCCATTAAAGTTGTTAATAAGATTGAGATCGTTAACGAACGGTAACTTTAAAAAGAACGGAAAACATTGCTAACTGAACGGAAAGTTCACTTCTTAGCTAAGAACGAACGGATATCTGAAAATTTGGTCATTTGAACGGTTTTAGCTAACTTTTTAGCTGTGCAAACTATATTTTTGCATCCTGAAAAACCTTGAAATGTTTAAGCTTAGATTATACTCTTAGTTCGTAATACAAAGGTCATGTAAGCAAAGATATAAGGATAAGAAAAGTAGTGTTTTTTTCCTTTAAAAAAATGTATCTTAAAAACCTGTTTTTAGTTGGAAGTAATATGAAGGCAGACATCGGGAAATTGACCAACGAAAATAAAAAGAAAGTCAACGAACATACAGCATCAGGAAGAAAGAGCTTAAACATTCACGACAAAGAAGCGAATAATAGAGAATATAAGAAAGAAAAAGAAACAGCTGAGAAGGAAAATAATGTTGAGAAATTTGAGAAGAAAGTTTCAAATATCAGGTGATTATCATCATTATAGTTGTTAAGATCAATTTGATAATAAGCCAGGTGATTATCATCATTATAGTTGTTAAGATCAATTTGATAATAAGGATCCTAAAGAATTTGTCCACAACACTACATACTCAGTTTAACTACCTTTCAAAGCCGGTCTGTCTCTTTAAATTCTTATTCTAAAAGAAAATGAGCCTGGGAGAAAGTATATTTTCTACTATTGTACCTTAGCTTAAATGATTTGTTTTTAAAAATGCAATACTATTAACTGGTTCTATATTTTTAATTGACTTTTTGTGTTGAGTTTTGAGAGAAAGAACAAGATCTATATTTTAAGTAGAATAGTTTGTATCTTGTGTTTTACTAATGTATAGGGTTACTCACAAAGGTTGAAACTAACGAAAATTGATCCTCGTAATATTATAAACGAATATTGTTTACTGTAATGAGTGTTTTGACAACAAAAGCATAAATGAAAGCGTAAATGAAAGCGTAAATGTAAACGTAAATTCAAGTGACATTAAAGCAAGCAAGGCAAATTGTCTGATCAGAGCTGAAAACTTTAGGATGGTATATTCTTAATCCCGATCGGAGAGGAGAACAAACCTTATTTAATCTGGAGATTAAGAATTATCAGATTGAATTATATATATTGCATGTTTTTGTTTATTTAAACTGTTTTATTTCATTTGTAGTTTCTCTGCAAAAATTACTTACGCATTTCTTGCTTCTAAGAAATTATCTTGCGTTATATTGTTTCGATTCTGTATCTTTCACATTTTTGTTCAGATTAAGGTTTCAAGGGTACCTTGGTAAATCGAGCTTTGTCATCTTTGCAAGGAGGGTCATTTGAAATTACGCTTACAGTCNAACTAGATGGTACAGATACACTACAATACACTACAAACTAGATGGTACAGATACACTACAATACACTACAAACTAGATGGTACAGATACACTACAATACACTACAAACTAGATGGTACAGATACACTACAATACACTACAAACTAGATGGTACAGATACACTACAATACACTACAAACTAGATGGTACAGATACACTACAATACACTACAAACTAGATGGTACAGATACATGCAATACAATACAAACTAGATGGTACAGATACACTACAATACACTACAAACTAGAAGATAGAAGGAGAGGGTAAAATTTATGCGACATTATTGTTACGACTTTGTCACCTCATAGCTCCTTTAGATTTTATTTTTAGTGTGAAACTGAACTTTTTTTGGTTACATATCTCCAAAAAGAGGAGTTATGATTGAAAACATAAAAGATTTTATTCTTCTTTCAACGGACTTTATTCATCAAACTCTTAAAGTGGACTACAAGGGGAAAAGTGTATTGGAGAGTGTTGGCAGAACAAGGAAATGTCTGAGGAGGACAGGATATTTGGATAGGATATTTGGACAGGATATTTGGACAGGATATTTGGACAGGATATTTGGACAGGATCACCGTAAACTCCTGTTCATTTCAAGTACCGAGCTGTCTAGAGCAATCCAGGACAGAATGCCAAATAAATAATCCAGTTCTAGTGTACAAAAAAAATGAATTTTTTGATGAAAATAACGAACAGAATGGTATTCTTAACATACTGTTCATAATTTCAAACATGTTGTACTTAATTTCTCAATGCTTCTTAGTGGTGAAAATCATTATTACGCTAAATATGGGGTAACCACGGTCGTCTTCTTTATTTTTAATATTCTTTTAAGCAAAACAAAAATATCGATTGTTTTTTTTTTGAATCTCTGATTTAAGCTGTTTTATTTTTAGGATATCTGAAAGAAGAACAGAAAATATGAAAAAAGAAGATTTCCATATTTCCCCATTCAACATCTTTCAACAGGTGTATTTAGTGTACATGTATAATACAGTGGTAGACGGTTATACTGATGCAATGAAGACGACTTTTTATTAAATTTTTGATTGTTTACAAGCTTTTTTCGAATTACAAGTTTTTGAGCAATCAACGAGAAGCTTTTTTAATTGACAGCTTCTCTTGACTTCTATAATTATGTGTATTTATGCTTTCAAACAGCTTGATATAAATCAACATTTAAATCGAAAGTCGTCTTCATTATATTGATATAATCGCCTATAACCGTAGGGGTTCAAAATTATAAAAAAACGAAATCAGAAATTAGAATGAGAATGAAATTAGACGCAACAAAAAAAATCCAATCAAGATTGAAAAACTAGTTTTTAATCAAAACGTTTTTATTGAAATTTACATTTTCGATTGACGAAAAAAAAAGATTGTATAAATCTAGGACAATGTGTGATTCTCCATTAATAGAGTGGTATTTTCGATTGACAACGGTACCCTTAAAAACTCTGCCTAAGATATAGCTGTAATATTTTAAAAACTCTTTTTTTTTAATTGTGCATTTTTCCTGCAGAAACTATGTAAGGACATTGTCAGGGGCCCCAATTTTTAAAACACACTGAAAATGTTGCAAAACTTTTCTTTAAGGGGTTAAATGTTCAGTTTAAGCTTAGTTCAGAAAGTTAAGGACGACATTCATACGATCCTCTGAAATTGGAGCCTTTACTAAAGCTAATTCATGATCTATTAGCTGTAGGCCATAACATAATTAAAACTGTTCTCACAGAATCTTTAATATATAACATAAAATATTTTACCTGTTTTTATAAGAAAATAAAATGAATATGCAATTTTTACAAATTCTTAAAATTAGTTTTTTTACTGGAACCAGTTAAAATCCCATAAATCCCTTTCTGTAAACGTGTAGACTAGTCTGTAATACAGAATTGTAAATGTATAAAAGATAAAACAATTGACCTATCAGTTCTACCCTTTTCAGTGCACAATCACAGGAAAATTGATAAAGGAAATATTTTAAACATAGACAACATTAAATACAGACAATTCAGTTCCATATTCTTCCCTTCTGCCATTTCCTGCCGATTTTTGTCATTCCCGATATTTCCTTTCAATGTCTTGTCATGTCTTGTCATTTTATGTCCTTGCAATTTCATGCTTTTTCCTGCCATCTGTCATATTCATAGTTTATATTTGAGACATTGTTTTCCCTTTCCTGCAGTTGCCAGCCATTTCCTGTCTTCTTCTTCAATTTTCTGGCATTTAGTTCTTTGTCCTGCTCTTTTTTGCCATTTCCTGTCATATCCTCATATTATCATCCATTTCAGCCATTCATTGCCATTTTCTATCATTTCCTGCTATCATTTCTCTTGCAGTTCCCAGCAATTTCTTGCCATTTTTTATCCATATCCTGCCATTTTCTGAAAATTTCACTCTTTTCTAGTTGGTCTTTAACTTTTTGTTTTCACGAAGCGCCTAGTCATACTATGCCTGGCCTATTCCTGCCACCTATTCCTGCCATATCCTGAAATTTCCTGCAGTTTCCGACGCATTTCTGCCATTTTCTGCAACTTTCTTCTGTATTCCTGGCCATTTGTAGCCATTTGTAAATTGTAAATCTGTAAAGATAATCTCAATGTATTACGATTTGTAAATGTAGGTTTGTCTTTGAATCTTTTTTTCTCTGATTTAAAATTTCCCATCCATTAAGTAAATGTTTCACGCTGCAGTAAGCCTGTACGTGCAACACATTCCTCTGTCACAGATACAAAGAATAATTTTAGGCGTGACAGTCCTCGATTATTTTCAAAACTATATTTCAAAATGTTGAGAAAAAAAATATTTACTTTGACGTAATTTGAATTTTAATGTTCAATATGCCGTTACTTAATTAAAAGTTAAAATTTAAAGTCTTGTAAAATTGGAAATAAACTATGCATTGATATTAAATATGATAAACATAAAATTGGAAATTGAAAAATGTCATGATCGATTACAACGAAAATGTGCCTTTGAAAATGAGTTAGAATTGGTTTTTGAATCGCCAGTACTTGTGCACTTACTCTGGTTTCAGTGCGATGTAATTATTATTCTGTGCTGAAAGTTATCTTTTTTTTGAAGTATATTTTTTCTAAAATATGTCTATGTAGGGGAATTTAATTAAATTTAATCCATAATAAGGTTAAGTCCTATTAAAAGATTTTTGGACCTTAAAGATCAACATCTGTCCCAAGTGGAGAGGAGGTTTAACACCAGACTTAAAATTGTGCAGGTAAAAAAAGGACAACTTTAAAAAGTGACTCAATTTCTGTATAATACGTTTTATTGTGATTAGTGACGTTTTTAGGAAGATGATCTGTAATTTCATGGGTTTAGAATTCTTATGCACTTCTTTTGCATTTTGCAAATGTACATCTAAGATCCAATATTTTCCACAGGGTAGTAAAAGCAAACTTTTTAAAAATAAATTTGATTTATATATATAACCAATAAGCAATAACCAATCTTAATAAAACGATTGAACATGTTGTCGACTTATTTTAAGAAGATATGCATATATATATATATATATGTGTGTGTGTGTGTACTGTATTTATTCTTTCAAACCTTGGCTTTTGAATTCATTTGTTTAAGTTAAAATAAGTTTTTACTTTAGGAAAAACTGAGAAAATCTGAGGAAGAAACAAAGAGATTAAAAGAAGATCGAAATATAGAAGTAAGTTTTCTTTAAAACATTTACTTTTTTTTAGATAAACAAAATCCTTAGGAAAGCAAACTTGTGCTGTAGCCTGTAATTGTTTTTTTTTGACGTTTATGTAACTTATTTTTTATCGGTTAAGATGTTTTTAATTGAAGGCTTCAAAATGTGAGAGATGTAAAAAACCTTTTTTTTATTTGTGAGTATTGTCCTCTTTACTATATAACGTGAAGGAAAAGTAAATTGCATGACGGATTTAAATTTTATATGTTTTCAATCATAACTCCTTTTTTGAAGAAAAAAATGTTTAAATTTCTATTATGTAACTTGATAAATTTGCTTTTCTCATACTTGGGCAGAAAATCCAAGCTAGAGGAGTGACGAGATTACAAAGGCATATCACTAAGTTTACCTTCTCCTTCTATCTATTTTAAGATTTAAAATAATTAAAGGGAGTGTTCGGAAAAATAGATCGAATAAAAGATGAAAATTTTCCCGGTAGTTTTTTAAGTTTTTGTATAAAAGGAATTTCATATACCCATTCTCATATTTTATTTCATATTTCATGTCATTAGAGTGGAATTTAGAAAATCCTTCGGTATGAATTTTGTCAGTCCCTTTCAGCCTGAAAAGGAGTTCAAAGTGTACAAATCATGTAAATGTTCACAAATTATATGCAGTAGAGTACATTAATACAGTATGTTCCCTAGACTATTTCAATTTCGAATTTTTTAAAGCTGTTAAATAAACTTTATAAAATGAATAAGGTGAATAAAAAACATCATTTGATTTAAAGTTATAGCGGAAAATCATCGTTTGTAAAGTGAAAGGCATAGAGTCTATGAAATGATCATTGGTCAATTATGAAACCAGCCTATTTCATAATTTGGTTTTCTTTTAATATTAATTTTAGATTTTCTATTAAATGATGTTCCAGGGCCCAATAGGTTATATAGCACAAATATGTGAAGTACAACTGCAGTATGGAAACAGTACAACAAAATGGGCGTTTTACTCTTTTTTCTAGTAAATTCCTCTCTAATATATATTCTATATTCTATATGTTTAGGTGTCTACTCTGAAAAAGGCCGGGGAGGAGAAAGTGAAAGAATTGCTGAAAACAATTAATACCATGAAGGAGGAGGAAACTAGAGTTAAAACCAACATGGTAAGGGAACTTTTTCAGAAAACATTAATCCGTATCTTTAGCAGTTCAACGGATTCCGTCCGGGTCCATTTTTCATAAGATATCCCAAAAATTCAAGTCAGCTGTTTTTCACGTATGAAGTTTCCATAAGAATATCAAGTTTAAACACCTTAGATTAACAATATTTTATACAAAAGATCTGACCTTTGAATGCAAAAGATTATTGTTAGTTCCAGTAAACATGCGGACACAGCTTTTAGTATGCTCACCTCTTATTTTGTACTAGTTAACCCAGATAGCTTTTTTATGAAAATCAATGGCTTTATTTTTTTTCTTCTTTATGATCATGACTAATTTTTATGATATGATAACCATATGTAATTTATTTATTTTTTAACACTAATAAAATATTTACCATAATACAATGAGAACAATGTTGATTTCTTAACTTTTAATAATAAAAACAGATAAATATTTCATTTTTTCTAAATCTCATATTATTTCTAAATCTCATTTTATTTTGGTAAGCATGCATGAACAAAATTAAAATAGTCTTAAAAATGCTGTTAAGGTTTTTCAATAATTAACATTTTAAGGAATTTTTTTGAGCCAAAATTGGGGGGGGGAGGGGCGGGTGCAGGTAGGTTATTTTTTTCAAATTTACAGTTCAAGGAAAAAGGGCCATTTTGACATAACTTTATATCAAAGGATAAGTGTTAACACAATTCTATAACTTACTTCTGACACAACTTGGTCCTGGATCAGTTTTATAAGTTGTTCACAATCCCAGAAACAAAAACTACCACTAAAGGAAGTTAAAATCCTATGATAGAAAGCAGAAAGCTAGATGAAGAGTTTCCATTGCCAATTTATAACTTAGGGTTTAGACGTTTTATTTGGACTTTGTAGTATATTAATATCCTCTGGATGACCGGTTTCAAACTGCTCTCTCTTAATATAAACTGTTTCTTCTTTGATTCTTTATTTAGATGGTGATACTTGATAGATTTTCTAACAGTTTAACAACAGATGAAATAGATAGAAATATCATAGCAACAATATAACATTGATTAGAACATTCTTATAATGATTTCATATAATTGCTATCAAAGTATGTCTACATCAGCGTCCATAGTTGGTATAGCCTTACTGAAGCTATCTCAGGTTCCAGACATATATATTCAAACACGCTTGAAGGTGTGCGTGTAAGAATTGGAAAACAATTGGAAATGTACATATTCTATTTAGTAAAAAAGGGGAATAGATCAAGGACCTAATTTGAAAACATGTAGCTGAGTCAATATAGTCCTATTCGGTTGTTAGTATTTGAAAGCATGATGTAGGAAAAGTGAATTCGTTCCATTTTATTTTCTTTGAATCTAAACGGTTTTTGTAAATTATTTACAGAAAAACTGGTTCTTTAGATCACATAATACGTCACAGTAGAATGTAAACAATCCTCTCCTCAGTTCTCTACTTCCATTAATTCATTTTTGGGGGCTAGCAATTCATTTTAAAAGGTTTAATATACTTTAAAATGAATTCTTATTTCTACTTAAATAATTCAAAAACATTTGTAAATCACCCAGGGGGGATACTAGTTTCCTACCTGTGTGCTCTGTTAGCTGTACAGTACACTTACAACTGTTTACTTATAATGATATACTAGAATTTACTTATAATAATCAAATATGCAGTACTCTCTCGGTATAGTTTATGGCCTATACAATTAGTAAAGGATTAGCGTACATTATCACTCTATACACTATAACCTCGTTGATATCCCCCCTGTGTGTTATAAGTATCACTAAACCTCTCCACATGTGCTAGTATACGCTGCACACAAGGGCTGCACATTAATAAACACAAAACCTCTTACTTTTGTTTTCATCTGTTTGTCTGTTCGGATGTCCAATCATAACTCCTGAACCGATTTGCCTCAAATTTTGATTGGGGAACTCGGTAGAGCCACGGGAATTATCTTAGCCTTGTTTAAAAATTCTAAATTAATTAAAATAGATTTAAATTATGGCAAAAATTTATTTCAGGCAAAGCTTGCTTTTAAAGCTGATATTTTTGTTACAAAGACAAACAATTACATAAATTGTATGCAAGTTTCGAAAATTTCTAGAATTTAAAACAAAAACTTAAATCAAACAAACTTTTTGATCACATTAAAGAATTTCTTAAATGAACCTTTTTATAAACGAGGAGAATGAAAGCATATCTAATGAATTTTGGTTAATTTTCAGTTATTTTGCATTAGTTTGTTAAGAACAGTAAAAAATTATAAGAAAATAATATGTAAAATTATAAAAATAATAAATCCAATTCTTTTGTTTATTCAGTAATTTCATGTCTTTAGGCCCGGAAGTTGGCAATTATCTTATTTTTTTATAATTTCATAAAACCAGGCTTTCAGGCTGGCTATAGAACAACTTTAGTCTTTTAATGACTTTTTACTTAAAAAGTTACATGAAAAATCTCGCAAATTTTACTTTTTTTTTGGTCATTTTTAGAGTTGGATTAGAATTCACGTAATTGTATACATGCAATTTTTAATTTTCAAACGTTTCAAGATTCTAAAGGGCCCAATTGTAAATGACGGTTCACTTACAATTCCGTGTACTGTCCCTTGAAAAAAAGTCTGGTTAATATCATAATATGAATCTATAGTTCTGCGCAATATTATTTAATAGAACTAAACCTGAGAAGGATTTCATCTGTGCCATTAATAGAAAGGTTTCAAATTTCAAAACATAAATTCCTTCTTTATTTCGATGCATCTTATTATTCTAATCGGAAAATGGCAAATCTATATATATGTATAGTGTAATCTCTGTTTGTCTGTTTGTGTGTGCGATCATAACTCATGAACCCTTTGACCGATTTGACTCAAAATTTTGATTGGGGAACTCAGGAGAACCACCGAAATGTTACTAGCTTGATTTTGAGATTCTAAATTATGATAAAATCGTAATTTAAGGCCAAGCGCGGGTAAACGGTGGGAGTAACTATAAGTGCCCAGGGTAAAAGTGTGTTCCCAAAGCTAGTCTCACAATAAAATAAGAAAAGTTGCTACGAAAAAAAAAAATCTTGAATTACTGATTATGATTAAATTCAAAAAATGTTTCTTACGATGGAAACTCTGAAATACTAATTATTCTATGAATTTTTGTCCGAATTAAATATCTCGGCCGGTGCATGGCGTAATGTTGCATAAAACGATGTCTGTTGAAAATTGAACAGTAGTATTAAGTTACTGACACAAAATATTCAAATAAAGAAAAGTGAATTTAAAATTAAAAAGTAATATCAATTGAAAGGATTCGATTGTTAATATATAAGTGTTTCTAAAAAGGCCTACAAAATGCTTTTGATATTCTTTAAAAGTAAAAGAGGCTGAGAGGATATAAACAGAAAATTTTACTTATAAAACTTGAAGTTGCCTACGCGTTAGAAAAAGTATTTAGAACGTTTTTGGACCAATATTAAAAAGGCTTATTTCACGAACCTAACACTGACATTTTTTCATTTGGTTTTCGAATCAAACTTATTTTTCAAAATTATAAAACTTTAACTTTATTTCTTACAATATGGTTTTATTTTTTGAATTTGAATAAAATTTTCTACAGAAAATTGAGAATTACAAAGCTTTAAACAAAATATGACTTTCACTGTGCTCAGAAAGCTAGATGAAGAGTTTCCATTGCCAATTTATAACTTAGGGTTTAGACGTTTTATTTGGACTTTGTAGTATATTAATATCCTCTGGATGACCGGTTTCAAACTGCTCTCTCTATATATAAACTGTTTCTTCTTTGATTCTTTATTTAGATGGTGATACTTGATAGATTTTCTAACAGTTTAACAACAGATGAAATAGATAGAAATATCATAGCAACAATATAACATTGATTAGAACATTCTTATAATGATTTCATATAATTGCTATCAAAGTATGTCTACATCAGCGTCCATAGTTGGTATAGCCTTACTGAAGCTATCTCAGGTTCCAGACATATATATTCAAACACGCTTGAAGGTGTGCGTGTAAGAATTGGAAAACAATTGGAAATGTACATATTCTATTTAGTAAAAAAGGGGAATAGATCAAGGACCTAATTTGAAAACATGTAGCTGAGTCAATATAGTCCTATTCGGTTGTTAGTATTTGAAAGCATGATGTAGGAAAAGTGAATTCGTTCCATTTTATTTTCTTTGAATCTAAACGGTTTTTGTAAATTATTTACAGAAAAACTGGTTCTTTAGATCACATAATACGTCACAGTAGAATGTAAACAATCCTCTCCTCAGTTCTCTACTTCCATTAATTCATTTTTGGGGGCTAGCAATTCATNTGGGACCCATAGAGTTGTGTGCAGTACAGTGGGACCCATAAAGTTGTGGAAAGTGAAGTGAGACACATATAAGATTGTGAAAAAGGAAGTGAAACACATGGCATTGTGGAAAGGGAAGCGCCTTTTTGTATCAAATAACTATTATAAAAAGTCCATTTGAATAAAAACTTCAATTTTCAATTAATAAGATAAGATGGTTAAAAGTAAAACTATTTTCTGTACAAAGTACGATAACATCAAATACAAATATTGCTTTCATGCCGTTTTTTAAGTTACTATTTATTTTGTGTTTTGTTTTAATGACATCTTCCTCTTCCACGGTTTTCTGGTTCTCACTGGTTCTCACTGGTTCTCACTGGTTCTCACTGGTTCTCACTGGTTCTCACTGGTTCTCACTGGTTCTCACTGGTTCTCACTGGTTTTCACTTCACTGGTTGATTTTTGTCAATCTCAAGTAGGCTAAAGGAAAAAAGCAATCTTATTAAAATGCTAAAAATTAAAAACCTTTAAGATGCGGGAATTACGGCCCCTCTGTCCTCCTCCTCCCCCCCCCACTTTGTGTTCAGGATGATCCAATGATTAATGTATTTTGCGTATCTTCGCCCTGGACCCCTATAGCAGCAATATTGCGTCATATAGTACGCAAAGATTAGCATCGTTCTTTCTTCTCCAGGAGATAGAATTGATCATTTTAAAATCAGAAATTCTCAGGGATTTTCTTTTTTCTTTAAAGGTACTCAGGGTGTAATTTCAAGTGACCTTTTTTTGATAACGTTTTACAATAAGAAAGGAAAATCTTATTTAATGAAAAGTGTTAATATTTATATTTTCTTTATGTCTCTAAAGCAGAAATCCGGAACTTCATGTCACTTTGCAGGAGCAAAAAATTTGAAATGAATAATTTTTAAATAAGAAAACAAGGATATTTTTAATATTGCCTACTTTTTTTTTTGGCCCAAACATGTGCTGCAGAAATTCATGATCTTTTATTATAACAGTTTATTTGACCTTATATTTTGTTTCATTCTATTATAACAGTTTATTTGACCTTATATTTTGTTTCATTCTTTAAAAATCCTAACTTGATTAACACTTTTTTTGTTTTGTTAAACACCTTATATTGCAATTACACCAA